CAATGGCGCGATCTCGGCTCACCACAACCTCTGCCTCCTGGGTTCAGGCAATTCTCCTGCCTCAGCCTCCCGAGTAGCTGGGATTACAGGCACACGCCACCATGCCCAGCTAATTTTTTGTATTTTTAGTAGAGGCGGGGTTTCACCATGCTGACCAGGATGGTCTCGATCTCTTGACCTCGTGATCCATCCGCCTCGGCCTCCCAAAGTGCTGGGATTACAAGCGTGAGCCACCGCGCCCGGCCCTCTATTAGTCTTTTGAAAGAATGTTTATCCATTACACAAATCTGACCTGATATCTTCCTGTGATATTTTTTGAATATAAGCAAGGCATATTGCCATTAGAAAATAGCACAGTTGGCTGGGCACAGTGGCTCCCGCCTATAATCCCAACAGTTTGAGAGGCCAAGGCAGGAAGATTGCTTGATCCCAAGAGTTTGAGCCCGGATATTGTATTATTACAAATACAGTATCTAATTGTATTCGTAGTAATACCCAAAGGTGTGTGGCGAACCATTTTCTCTGCCTGCCCAGGCTGTGTGCATCCCTCCCCAACCCCAAACAGCTATTCTTAGAGTATCCTCTGCATTTACAAGGCTGTGAATCATATGTATTTTCCTGGCTAAATCCGGTTTCTTCTCTATGTTGTTGTTATGCCACAATAGTTCGATTTTCTGTTTGAATTCTAGGACAGCTGTGGGAAGAGGCCGAGCTTGGCTGTATCTTGCGCTCATGCAAAAGAAACTGGCAGATTATCTGAAAGTACTTATAGACAATAAACATCTCTTAAGGTATTTCATCAACTATGTTTGCTTATCTTTTGCTTGCTAAATAATTAGAACATAGGCTGGGTACGGTGGCCCACGCCTGCAATCCCAACACTTTGGGAAGCCAAGAAGGGTGGATTACTTGAGGTTGGGAGTTCAAGACACCAGCCTGACCAACATGGTGAAACCCCATCTCTACTAAAAATACAAAAATTAGCCAGGCATGGTGGCGGGTGCCTGTAATCCTAGCTACTCGGGAGGCTGAGGCAGGAGAATCACTTGAACCCAGAAGGCAGAGGTTGCAGTAAGCTGAGATCACACCAGTGTACTCTAGCCTGGACAACAGAGTGAGGCTCCGTCTAAAAATAAATAATAATAGGCCAGGTGCAGTGGTTCACGCCTATAATGCCAGCACTTTGGGAGGCCGAGGTGGGCAGACCATGAGGTCAGGAGTTTGAAACCAGCCTGGCCAACGTGGTGAAACCCCATTTCTACTAAAAATACAAAAATTAGCTGGGCACGGTGATGCATGCCTATAATCACAGCTACTTGGGAGGCTGAGGTAGGAGAATCGCTTGAACCTGGGAGGTGGAGGTTGCAGTGAGCTGAGATTGCACCATTGCACTCCAGCCTGGGCGACACAGTTAGACTCCATCTCAAAAATAATAATAATTAGAACATAGTTCTATAGATCATTTTGAATTAAAATAAGTGTATCGGCCAGGCATGGTGGCTCATGCCTGTAATCCTAGCACTTTGGGAGGCCAAAGCATGCCAATCACTTGAGGTCAGAAGTTCAAAAGCAGCCTGGCCAACATGGTGAAACCCCTACTAAAAATAAAAAATCAGCCAGGCGTGGTGGCATATGCCTGTAATCCCAGCTACTCAGGAGGCTGAGGCAGGAGAATCACTTGAACCCATGAAGCAGAGGTTGCAGTGAGCCAAGATCACACCACTATAACTCCAGCCTGGGAAACAGAGCGAGACTCTGTCTCAAAATAAAAAATAAAATAAGTGTATAATGTTTACAGAAATTTATAACTGGTTCATTTTTTATATTTGTAACTAAGCAAACATCATTATAAAAGGAATTTTCTCTATACTATGATAATTTATGAGGGAGGACTCTTTCCAGAGTTAAAGCTCTCTTGTAATTGAGAAACAGATAAAAACAGGTAATTGAGAAATAGAT